TGCAGTCTTACAGAAGCTCTAGCATTGTTGCATCCTGGTACTTTTGGCAGAAATTAAATTCGAGTCTACCCTCTTGATATTCTCAATCTCTCTTTACCAATTGCGCAATGCCTTTCGGCATTAATAATAAGTTTAAAAAATAATAGAGGAACTAATCATCAAGGCTCAAACTCTGTGATCTGATAAGTATTACAGTGGGAATAAATAAAAAAATATTAATCCGAACTTATGGAACGTTCGAATTTTACAATAGAAATAAAATAAAAAAATTTAATCTTTGAGAAGCTAGGACAGATCTGAACAGACAGAACTCTCGAATAGAGTAGGAGTTGGACGGGCGAGCAGAGACATCGAAGGAATTGTAGGCCGAGCTGGAACAGTACGTTGAACAAGAAGTTAGGAAAGCGGAGTCGCCAGAGCTTTTTTTAAGGTAGTATTGCCCGCCTCTCACACTGAAAAACGTGGGCAATCTCCTCCCAGGATAAAACCGTAACGTGCAAGGTCTCGAGCGGTAGAACCGTGCACCGACAAACGAGAATGACGAGGAGTTACTTGCCGGAAACTGATCGGGGACGTGAGAAAGTAGAGTTGGACGCAGCGATTTTTTTCCCAGTGGTGAGTCTATGCAGCAGTGCTCCGTTTAAATAGAAGTATGTGTGGATGAACGGACAACCATGGAGAAGAAACCGAGGAGCCACGGGGAGACCCTTCAATGGTGTGCATGCATGCTATTGATTCTTCTCATTAATAACGATTTAATACCTCATTATTAACGAACCCAAACGCGTTTGATTCGGTCTCGTAAAAAGTAGCCACGCCCCGCCGCAGACGCGGGCCAGGGCGCGGCGTGCGCCTCGCCTCGACCCGACGCGCGTGTGGCGTGTCGTGCCGTTCCGAGCCGAACGACGGCGGAAGCGGTGCGCAAGGAGTACTTGTTCCTTTTATAAATTCAAGATCCGGTTTGGGATAAAGGTTTTTACTCTTTCCACGTATTCAACTTTGAGAATTAATTTCTCATTCACCCAAGCACCATTTTTGGCGTGTAATATGTCGAAAACATTTAACTCACTTACGAGATTAAACGTCCATAATTATTCCAGAGAATAATTTTGTGGACCCTACCGAATTTTTGTCCGAAAATGTCCAATTTATCTAAAAATTTCCAACATGATCATGACACAATGTACTCCTTTCATCTCATTTGAATCTTTACCTACACTATGCACAACGTCAAATTTTATACACTTCTTTTTCTTAATTTTTTTACTCGTTTGATAAAATAAAAAATTTATGTCACATCTAGTTTTTTTTAGATCTTTTTATATAGTTTTTAAATATATAATTTTTATTTTTTAATTTTTACAGATGCAATTAAATAAATTGAATTGGAAATAAAGTTGGTCAACAATAAACCTCTCATTTTGAATAAAAATAAAAATATTAAAATTGAGACATATTTTTATCCAAACAAATATAACTTTCATGCACAAGCCATGCAGCTCAATAATATAAATAGGGTGTAGTATTAGTACGTAGAATATAGTACACTCCCTACATGGACCACTCTCTACATGCAACTCAACTTATTTTGTCCTTTTTTTATTTCTAACCCAACCACTTCTACGTACTGGCACCTCTAAGTTATATTGTTTTTTTATTTTTAAGCCATGTGGGTTTGTGTATCTTGGCTCTATGCATTCCCGGAGCTTAGGATTTTTTGAGATAGAATTATTAGAATGAATATACAAAATATAAATAAAGTGAAAAAACTTCATGGAGCAACAAGGGAGAAATGGAAAATACAACCAACCATCTCATTACTTTAATGGAGCACATATACTACATAGTGTTTCAGAATGCTTTTGTTATACCAATCTTAACAAATACCAATGCTTTTGTTATACTACATATCAATCTTAACAAAATATCTACTCAAGAAACACCGCTCGTGAGACTCCAAGTCCATCTAACTCTGCCGGCGTGTCCCCCTGCCTCCGCCTCTGCTAGCCGGCCTACTCCTGAAACGCAATAACCCTCCGGCATATGGGACACGAAGTACTCTAGGCCACCCACTGGGAAAGACAGTGCGCATGGAACGAGTGGGAGCACGGTTGGAACATTGGTAGCTCTTCCCCCGACTCAAACTACTCCAAGCAAACTACGCAACTATCTGTCACGTCTCCCGCAGCTGGATCGAAGGTGCGGTGCGGGAGACGTGCGACCAACGCCAAAGAGATTCTCTATGTAGTGGCGGCAACCGCTGTCTTGCGACGCATCCCACGACGGCGGAGCACGAGAAAAGCAGACATACCAGAAGACAATGATGGCGATAATCACGCCAATCCTCGCAATGCCGAAGGGTTAAACGGACATCACTGTTAGGCCAAGTAGTGTTGACGGTGTTTGCCTCAACAGCGCTGTTGGTTATCTGGACAACGTTCTATAAAACGTAATTACATGCCTAAGAAATGGGACTGGAAATTTTTTGATTAAGTAGAAGCGTAAAAAAAGATTTTTGAATGAGGATAGTCCTAATATTTGAGATGTGTATAAATAGGTAATCGAAATGAAAATGAAAGATAATTTTTAAGGAAGAATAAAAAAATTTGAATGAAAAGTATATTAAAGATTGGAAGGTAAGAAAAGAATGGCTTCTAAACAAAAGATACGATAGTAAAGATATAAGCTCCATCAAGAGAAGGATAGCGGTCTCTCATATTTGTCTCAACTTTTGAGATGAAAATTCATCCCTATTTTTCATCTCTGTTCAAGAGACAGATATCCATCTCTTTTTTGTCTTGTTTCCCCTTACATTCTTATAGTGACAGCCTATAAATGATCTATGAAGTCTATTAACTCAAGACTTCAAATATGCTTATGTCCACTATCCCATATGTTTAAGTTATAATTCTCATGTCCACTATCCCATATGTTTAAGTTACAGAGGTAACACATTCTTCCCGTTTTTATTTGAATGCTCGTGACTTGGTTACCACCCATGTCAACACTAAAAATACGTAAGAAGACTCTACATCGGGGATCTGGCCCAATCATCGTGGAGACAGTCCAACCTGGGGAATATAAAATGACTAGACGAAGCTAAAGGTAGAACTTGGGTAGATGAAGAACTCAGGAGGGGGGGATGATGTTTGTTGTATGGAAACCAAAGGTGCACAGAGATTTGTCCTCAGAAGTAGTGTTGGAAAGTGTTAGTTCGGAATACAACGGATGGGGAAGATGAACGGCCCCGAAATAAACTAAAAATAAAATAAAAGAAAATAAATCCAAATTTATAATTTATCCGGATTAGTTACGACGAATAAACTAGAACTAGTAGTAGCTTCCAAATCTTCAAAGGCCTTGCTTGACAAACAAGACTTTGTGTACTGGATTGAGGCAATGAACTGGGACATAGGCCGTGTGAATAACATCTGTAAAATAGAACGCCGTAGAAGGACAGCGGAGTCGCCAAAGCTGTCCTTAAGGTAATAGTGCCCACCTACCGTACTGGAGAACGTAAGCACTTTCCTCCTGGGATAAAACCGCTATCGTGTGTGGTGGTTGTACGGACCTACCTCACACCTACGAACAACAATGACGGAACGTTGGGGACCAAAAAAAACTTAAATGAGATCGCCGGAAAATCAAGAAATCTCTATAGTAATGAAAGAAGTTTTTTTCTTTCTTCTTCCCTTTTTTTCTCATGTATGGAACATCACTTCCATGAAGAAGATGCTCAAGCTCCTTTTTAAAAAGGGAAAAACAAAGTGTAACCTCCACTACACCTTAAAGCATTTCTTTCAATAAATTGCATTAGTGGAGAATTGATGACTATTATTAAAAAATAACCATACGTTTATTCTTCACCATTTGCAATCCTCAAAAATTCATTTAATAGGCATAATTGCATGTAAAAAACCATGTCACTAGTGGTGTAATAATGATTATTAAAAATCATTAGCACGCTTGTTACACTACGCTTCGTGTTGGAGACTTGTCGTGTGGTCCAAAACAAATTAAAAATTTATAAAATATCCTTAACTAACCCCCAATATATAATCAAATAAAAACTATAGCTAGGGCAAGTAAGGGTCGATCCCACGGAGAAATGTTGTACTTTTTAAAACCAATTTAGTATACAAACACGTTGTCACGAAATAAAATAAAAAAAACAAACTACTACACAAATGATAATACTTATAAAACTTTTAATTAAATAAATATATAAACTTATAAATATAACTTATATAAACAAAGAACTTATAATATAACTTATAAACACAAAACACATACTTAAGATATACTAAAAAAGTATAAAAACTTATATTTATAACTTATAAAAACACTTATATATTAACTTAGTAAATAAAACATAGATACTTATACTATAACTTAAACATAACAAGGGGGGGTTGGATGAAAAGTAAATATTTTTTGGTTTTTTTTGATAAAATGAGGGAAAACCAGCTCAAAAGATAATCAACTTCTCCAACTAAGGTNTAATAAACCTTTTCTCCTAATGATGAGCACATTTCACAGATTTCCATGAACTTCTCAAATCAATGACGTTTTTTCTATTCACATAGAAAAACACAACGTATTTTCAATAGATCAAGAATTGTTTATTGCACTTAAACAATCTCAATTTAAAGAAAATGGAAAACAAACATATAACCTAACAAAATCACTTTATAACGAATTCTAAGGAAAATGAATCAACTTATGGGGCTAAGAAGTCCAAAATCCTTAAAATCAACGAGCACAAGCACAACAAAGAAACACGTATGAATTCGGAGTTTATTTAACTATCTTATGGAGCTAAAATAGCTTCAACAAAAACCGAATTCTACATAAAACCTACTTATGAATTTGAAACAATTCAACCAATTTAACAACAACTTGTGCAATAATTGAAGTAAATAAGAAAGAATCAATTCTCATTCATAAGGGATTATATATGAACATTTAAAACAAGAACATACACCCAAAAGAACACCAACCGTTATATATTTTTTTTTTGCCAGATTTTTTTACATGAACAAGTAACGAAAAAAAAAGTGATAAATTGGAAAAAAAAACAACACTTGAACATAGAAACAACAAAAGAATTGAAAATTTAAAGGGTTGACTTCCGGATTAAGTCCGGAAGCCAATTTATTTGGGTACCTATAGAAGAAGATGATGAAGAAATTGAAGAATGGAGCTCTCTGGTTCGTTCCCCCTCCACCTGCTGTGATTCCTTGCCCAATTTATAGGCCGGAGGAATTCTTCCCGTTGTTGATTTGAGAGCAGAGCGTAGAAGAAACCGTTGCTTACTTGGTCAAAGGCGGAGTGTATGGCCGAACGTTAGTGCAATTGATTTGAGGAATTGAAGTCGCCGTTCGGTTACTCATCGATTTTGAATAGATTTGAATGATTCACCGCTGAATTCTAGCTTCCATCTGAGACTTGGTTACTTCACTACTCGCCTGCTGCTGCGTTATGTTCTGTTGACCGAGAAGCTGGGCCGAAATCAGTCTGGATTGAAGGCTTGGGATGGCTGGCGACCTATTCTTCAGAATTGATGAAGTGATCCTTGGCTTAGATTTTAGAAAGTTGGACTTGCGCATTCATTTGTTTGAATGGGAGGCTTGCTATGATTTCTTGGACTGCTATCATGTGATAATTTTTATTAAGTTTGGATTCAGCCCAAACTCAATTGCTTCCTTTTAAACTTGTACTCCAATTTGGTCTTTTACTGCAATTTATTCCAAAATAAATAGGATATCTGATAACTTGGGTTAGGAAAAATAATAATATTCAAATAATAACATGTTAAAAAATGATTAAAAACAACTATTTTTGAATGGAATTAAAAGGTTTGTAATAATAGGAATTAAAATAAAACTAAGCTAAACAAATGAAAATTAAACAATAAAAATACTAAAAATGCCAAAAAGAGAATAAAAAATATTACCCCAAACCCGAGTTATCACTTCGTTTAAAATTTATCTCAAATAATTGGAGATTAATGACCAATTAACTTCATATAAACGGGCTAATTTTAAACAACATGTATAAATAATAATAGATAATTGGTTCAACAGTATTGGAAAAATTACAATCGTTACCATATTGTTTTATTAATGGGTTAACTTAGAAAATGAATTTTCATTCACCCTCTACCATTTTTGGCGTATAAACTATGAAAATTTTTATCGCATTTAAGAGAACATGCGTCCATTGATTAACACTTAATACCATTAGTGGACATGTTGATAAATATACCCAAGTTGGTATATTTAATGTCTATTAAAATGCATGAATTAAAAATTGATTAGGGGGTCGACAACATCCCATAGTTGAAAACCTGCAAAGAACTGGTAATAGGGGTGGACACGGTACCGGTACGGTACCGTGACCGGCAACGGTACCGCCGGTACCCGCCACCGTCACCGCCAAAGCCGTCGTGTCACCGGTTCTGGGAATCGGTACCGATACCGCCCACTTCGGTACCGGTTCCGGTACCCACTTTTTCGGTACCGGTACCGGCGGTACCGGCCCGGTTCCGGTACCGGTTAATAATTTTTTTTCCACTTTTGCTCCCAACGATCCTCTTGGCCTCTGCACCACTGCAAATCTGCAAGTCTGCATCCTGCAAAACAGAAAAAGAAATAAAATTAGTGGGGGGGCACACCTCAAACGGCTATTTAGCCGTTGAGGTGGGGGAGGGGAAGGGCCGAAGGGGGAGAGGAGGGGAGGGGAGGGGGGGAGTATAAAATCTAACATATTTTTCCTAAAAAATCACTCAATCTCTCAATTCATCTCTCATTCTCTCATTCTTTCAATTTCTTAATCTCTCAATCTTATCATCTCTTTTTAATTTTTATACATTTAAATTCATATAATAATATAAAATTTTTATACATTAAAATTTTGATATTTTCGAAGCTTTAATATATATAAAATTTCGAAATTTTTTCAAAATTTTCGAAATTTAATATATAATTAATTTTTAAATATATTCTTTAAATAATTTAAATATATATTTAATTTTTTAAATAAATTATATTTTTTAAAACATTTATTATTTTCGAAATTTTTGAAAATCTAATTTATAAAATTTTGAATATTAGTTTTACTATATAAATTTTTTTAATATCAAAAAATACATATATTAAAATGTCGAGAGAGTACGGTAGAAGGTCCGTGGATATGGGCGCCGTGAACCGAAGTTTGAGGAAAGGCAAAGCTAAAGCCACCTCCGACGGTTCAACCTCACGCGGTTCTCGAGGAAGACACTCCGTCTCTTCCTTTCCTACTATCCCCAATCAATTCATTGGGGATGGTATGACGGATGAAGAAATCGACCAGATTTATTCTGGTAGAGGGACGCGAATTTCCCCACTCTTGATAGTCTATTCAAAGATGTTGATGAAGCAGGACTGGATAATCTAGACGGGGACGAGGAGCCTACACCGCATAGCAACGACGTCGATGTGGAGGCAGGTGAGCCCGAGACCTCTCGAGGTCCGGACAAAGGTAAAAAAAATTAAAATCGGATTTATTTGTTTATCATTTTGACAAAGAAACAAAAGATGACATAGTTTATGGAACTTGTAAACATTGTGGGACCGTCATAAAAATGGGAGTTTCCGGCGGTTATGGCGGTCCGGAAAAACACCTAAGGTCGAGGCATCCCGTGGAGTACGCCAAATACGCGGCAAAAAAGAAGGGACAACAAGAAGTGCAACCCCAAATTTCTCGGTTTGCTAACAGAGGTAAGGGCGGCCTTTTTGCTTATAGCGACGAGCAAAATAAGTAAAACATGGCCGAAATGATTTGTGAAGAAAATTTGTCATACATGTTTTCTGAAAAACTTGGATTTATTGATTATTGTCAATAGGCATTAAACCCTCAAGCACGAGGCTTTTCAAGAAAAACAATTTAACGAGAAATTATTCGCCAGTATAAAATTGAAAAAATAAATTTGACAAATTTTTTTCTCAATTTTAATTCTCATGTTGCTATTTGTTCTGATATTTGGGGTGAAACTTATCATAATTTGTCTTATATGGGTGTTACTTGTCATTGGATAGATAGTGATTGGATTATGCATAAACGTGTTCTTGCATTTCGTGATTTCAATGATCAGCATACTGCTGAAAATATTTTTCTATTGATTCAGAGTATTCTGCGGGAATATAACTTATCTGATAAAGTGTTTTCTTTTGGTTTTGATAATGCTACTAATAATACTGCTGCTATTCCTAGACTCTGAGAAATTTGCCCCCTACTACGATTATGGGTAGATTTCTGCATCAACGTTGTGCCTGTCATGTTTTAAATTTATGTGTTCAACAGGGACTAGAAGCTATGGGGGGAGTTTTGACAAATATTAAAGAAGGAATTAAGAAAATTTGGGGTGCTCGTCTTATTTCTAGGTCCTGGAAGATATTTTGTAAGTCTAAGGGTAGAAAAGAAGTACAATTTGCCAAAGATATCCACATTAGATGGAATAGTACTTACAAGTTGATATCACATATTCTAAGCTATAAAGAGGAACTTGCTGAATTTTTTAGCTCTGAACTTCGTATAATCATTTCACCTATTGAATTTGTTATTGTTGAAAAATTGAATGCTGTATTAGAAGTTTTTAATAACGCAACTCTTACTTTTTCGCATGTTTACCAACCAACTACAAATACATTTTTTAAAGAGTGCATTACAATCGCAACATGTTTTCGTGAAAGTATGGCTGATGAAGATTTGTACCCTTATGTCCGTCCTATGAGAGAAAAATGGTGTGCATATTATTTGTACATTCCTGATATTTATAAAATAGGTATTATTTGTGATCCACGCTTTAAGATTGAAAATTTTAAAATTCTAATTGACTATTACTACACTTGTTTTTTGGATGAAAATAGTTATTACTACACCCATTTTATAGACTGGAAAAATGAAAGAGATAATGCTATAACTCTTTTTGAGAATTTGTTTAAGGAATATCAAGGGTTATACGGTAATGTACCAGAAGAAACAGCACCTCCTCCGCCCCCAAATCAAAAAAAGGTTTTAAAGGAATAGTCGGTGGGCTTCTTGCAAAGAAAGGGAAGCGTGCTTAGCCTTCTGGGAGTTCAAGTGGTACAACAGTAAGCTCGCACAACGAACTTGCTATGTACCAAGGGGTGTCATGCGATTACGACGAAGATGACGTGGAGTTTGACGTCCTCGGATGGTGGAAGCGGAACGAACACATGTTTCCATGTCTGGCAATGCTAGCAAGACAAGTGTTGTCCGTCCCGGTATCAACCGTAGTAGTTGAACGAGAATTCAGTGCTGTCGGCAACATTCTAACCGACTACCGAAGTTGTCTTAGCGCTGAATCTCTTGAAACACTTGTTTGCAACCAAGATTGGCTCTTGTCAAGACGTCGAGCTCAAAAGTCTTCGTACCAACTCGATTCGGAGCATTACATGAATGTAACTAGAGATAGAAGTCTGAGTTCTGAAGAATAAGTTATAAACTTTTTTTATGTTAATGTAAATATGTAATTAGTTTTTTTTAGGTGAGCAATATATAAGCTCCTTCGAGGGTTTCTTTACGGTTCTTTACCTCATCGTTTTTTTTGAACCGTCAGGATATTAAATGTAGTTGTTCTTCATTTTGTGTATTACTTATTTTACAATATTTAATTAACAACTACATTTTTAGATTTTTTTCATTCTTTCCTTAAACAATTGTGAATTTACAATTTTACACTTTAGAAATTTTAAAAAAAGCAAAATAAAAAAGGGGGGGGGCAAAACCGGTCGGTCTGGTACCGGAACCGCCGGTCCAAGAACCGGTACCGGCTCGTCCGGTCACAGTGCTGGTGCCATGGGGTGGCGGTTCTGGAACCGTCCCGGAACCGTACCGTGTCCACCCCTAACTGGTAAGTGTCTCCACTTTTGAACCTTTCCCTTGTAAGGTATATCTTCTTTACTGGCTATTCAGAAGAACGCAATGTCTTTGAACTGTACTGTCATTTGTGTAAACGATAGCATACCATACATAGGTTCCAACCAAACACCGTTCTGTTCTCATAGTTGTGCCCATTTTGGTCATTGGACACGCGCCTCTTTCTGCGAGAGTGTTATAGGATTAAGCCCAGAATCTTTAGTTTTGAAGCAACTACACTTCACTCTTACAAAGGTAATTCTTTTAAGTGTATCCCGATTACTCTACTTAGACCACCGTGTCTACTGGTTAAGAATCATTAAATCATATTTATATGCTAATAATCTCATCATTTTCAAGAGTCAGTGTCTTCAGCAGGAACAAAAGGGACTGACCAGAGGTACTAGTACCATCCCTAGAGTGAGTGCGCTTCATCATACAAGTAGGTTGTCCTATTAAACCTGGGTATCAACCAGATCAGGGTTTTCTCCATAGGACTTTCCTAGCATAAGGGCTTCAAACTCTTTCCTACTACCAACTTCTCATGCAACTCATTTGTTAACCCTTTGGTTAGCGGATCCGCCAAATTATCTTTTGACTTCACATAGTCAATTGTGATAATCCCAGTTCGAAGAATTTGTCTAATGGTTTTGTGTCTAAGTTGAATATGTCTAGACTTACCATTATACATGTTATTCTTTGCACATCCAATTACCGATTACAATCACAATAAATGCAAATTGGTGGGCCGGTTTATCCCATCTTGGAATGTCCTCAAGGAAGTGGCGTAGCCATTCAGCTTCCTCACCCCATTTATCGAAAGCTATAAACTTAGATTCCATGGTGGACCTAGAAATAAGTGATTGCTTTGAGGATTTCCAAGATACTGTTGCACCCGCTAGCATAAAGACATATCCACTTAAGGATTTCAAGTCTTTACTATCGGATATCTAATTGGCATCCGTGTATCCTTCTAACACCGGTGGATATCTCGAGTAGCATAATCCATAGTCACGTATATATCGTAGGTGTCTCATCACACGTATAATAGCCTTCCAATGCTCATTACTCGGATTGCTGGTGTATTTACTCAGCTTACTTATGACACATGCTAAGTCTGGTCGAGTGCAGCGCATTAGATACATCAAACTTCCAATAACTCTTGCATACTCAATTTGAGAGTTACTGGAACCTCGGTATTTAGCTAGGTGTGTGTTGACGTCCAACGGCGCCTTTGCTACTCTAACATCCTTTTGTTGAACTTGCCAAGGATTTTATCAATATAATTGGATTGGCTCAGTGCTACAACTTCATGTCTTCTCACAATTTTAATTTCAAGAATTACTTCACCAAGACTCATGTCCTTCATGTCAAACCGTGAGTTCAACATATCTTTGGAAGATTTGACCATCTTTTCATTGCTACCTACTATGAGTATGTCGTCTACATAGAGACATAACATGACATACCCTTGGGATGTGTCTTTTAAATAGACACACTTATTTGCTTCATTAAATTTGAAGCCAGAGTCAATCATTACATGGTCAAACTTTTCATGTCATACTTTTGACGCCTGTTTAAAACCATATAATGATTTAACAAGTTTACGGACTTTCCTTTCTTGACCATGAGCTATAAACCCCTCAGGTTGTTCCAAATAGATCTCTTCTTCGAGATCTCCATTAAGTAAAGTTGTTTTCACATCCATTTGATGAAGCTTACAAGGAAGCTATTGCAAGTATCATTCTAATGGAATTTATTCTTGACACAAGGGCGTATGTGTCAAAATAATCAAAGCCCTCACGCTGAATGTAACCCTTAATTATAAGTCGGACTTTGTACTTATCAATGGAACTATCTGGTTTCATTTTCCTATGAAAGATCCACTTAGAACCTAATGGTTTGCATCCTGGAGGTAGATTCACTAACTCCCAAATGTGATTATGCATTTATCTGTTTTCAAGGATGTGAACGTAGAAGATGAATTCATCTTTGCGGCGGAATAAATAGCTCATTATGACAGGTTTGAAGTAAACTTGAAGTATGTGCATGAATCTCGTTTAGTTGAATGTGTCATGGGTTTTAAAGGTAAAAAGTTATTGATATGCAGAGTACATTTAAAATGTATATATTCTATGCCCAGAACTGTCAAACTTGTAGGCCATCGCAATTTTGGGATGTTTAAAAAGTTTTGAATGTTTCTAATTGTATTTTTTGCTTATTGTTTGTTTTTTTAAAGGATTTGTTATGGTTTAGTTACTTTAGTGGTTTATGCATTAAATGTCGTGGTTGGGGTTGAATAATGAAGCCCAGTGTGTATCGTGTGGACTTTGCACTATGAAGTCCATTGGATTACATTTTAACTGGTTGGTACATTCAAAATTTAAAATTAGTTTTTTTTACCTAGATTTGGTCCATTTATATTAGACCAGTTCTGTAAGATTTTAATCCAAATCATTCAAAAGTCAAATACTCCGTATATTTAAGTACGGTCTTCGGTCTAAATTTCAGTCTAATTTGGGTCTAGGTCTAGTCTGAGATTTAGACCGAATTTCAGTCTAATTTGGGTCTTGGTCTGGTCTGACCGGGTTCAATCTGGTCGAGGTTTAGACCAAAGAACACCCTTAACTCCCTAAGTTCTTCTATCTATATAGGGAGTATATATTAATCAATTTTACTCCTTAGAGTGAAATTGGACAAACAGTAAATACTGGATCACAAATTTGTACAAAACTTTATTGATTAAATTTATCTCATAAAATATTATAAAAAGTTTATTCTATTATATTAATGCAATTTAAGATTGACTCAATTGATAATTAAAACTTTTCCAAAAAATCAAACTATACAAACACAAATATCAAGACTAGAAAATTTGGGGAGATACACAAAATAATATTAACGCATAATGGAGTCTTCTTCTTCTTCATTCATGCGTTCTGACCCTCTGCAGGAAAATTTCACTCCTCGAAGACTGAAACAGACTAATCTCTGCTCCAGGAGATTCTTGAAAAGTATGAACAGTTAGTTTCCGGCATTAGAGAAGTGAAGCCGAGCATTGAAGTGCCCAGATTGAACTCCAGCAAATTGTCCTCCAATTGGTAGCCCCCAATCACAATGGGGGCAATCTGGTCCGACCCACCATCCAAGAACCCCAAGCACACAACCCCACCACCCATCTTTACCACCCCATTCATCCTCCATTTCATCATCTCACTCTGCAACACAAGATCCACCCTCGGAGCATCCCAACCGGCTACATCCTTAAAGCATACGCCGAATGGCGCCACGGGATCCACCTGGGTCATTCCCTTGGAAGCCGCGTGCCCGATGTAGGACTCGACAAACGCCTGGTAAACCGCTGTGTTCATGGTCGTGTAAGGAACAATCGTGCTGATCTTCGTCCCTTGATCAGACAAGGATCCCTGCTTGAGGCCCTGTCTCTCGCCGTTAATCCTGATTGATGTTACATTGATGTGGTACTCCGGCGATGTACTGTTCCGGGGAAGAATCAGAGGGGTGTACATCATAGATCTGGCAACACCAAACGGAGGAAGGTCGCCGGAGAATATTGAGCCTTTGGAAGAAGACAAACAGATGGAAAACTTTCTGGGAAGACCAAAGGTGCTTGCAAGCTGAGAGGGAAGTGAAATCCTCGAATTCCCAAGGCCGAAAACGCCATCCACGCCACGACCCAGGCCTTGGAGCAGGAAACTTGGCACAGAGGAGAACAAAAAATTGGGAACATGGGAAAGAAAAGAGCTTCCATTTGGGTCATCTATGAGCTCCAAAGCTATGGAGTCTTCTTTCAGAAACCCAGATCCGGGGGTTTTCGAAACAGGGTTAAGAAGTTGAAGGGGACAGATCTGGTTACTGGTGCATCCACTGGAATTAGCCATGGAGCACTTGAGAGATTTACAGAGAACCGAACCCAGAGATGGAGAGGTGTGATCGGTCCAGAGAAATGGGCCTCCCAGATCCACTACCAGTTTCAAAGGGTGAAGATTTTGGCCAATTTGAAGTCGAGTTAGGTACTGTGAAGTGGGCAAATCTTTGGCGACTGGAAGAACAATGGCCCTTGGGAAAAAGGGTCTCTGAGCAAGAGTAAGAACAGCCAAGAAACTGAGTGTAAGAAGTGGGATAATATGAAAATTGTAAGCCATGGAAGAAGAAGAAGAAGAAGAAGAAGAAAGAGGAAGAATAGGGTTGTGATGGATTTGGGATGTGGAAAAACGGGTGACGATTTGGCGAACGTCGGAGAGGCGCCACGGCCCATTATTATAGTCAGTTCTTTTGGCTGATACGGAGTATATTAAAAATGATTACACTTAGGTCAAGAATGGTAGAATGGAGTTATACCAAAGATATATGAAGTATATTAGCATTTTGATAGTTTATACTTGCACAAAATATTAGTATGATTAAAAAAATTAGTACTAATGCTTTGTATCTGTCCGAATCATCTAGCATCACACTTACGAATGATATACTCCCTCCGTCCCAAAAAGTTTGTTACGTTTAGAAAAAACTACGTCCCGTAAAATTTGTTACATTTCTATTAAAAAACCACTTTTACCCCTTACTTTTTCATACCCTACCTATCACATCATACCTTTTTTCTATTAATTTACCCATCACATCCTACTTTTACTCATCACAACAAGGGTATTTTTGGAAAGTCCATACCAAAATATATCTCCCTTAATTTCCCAAAAAGTCAAACCGTCTCATTTTTTTTGGGACGGAAGAAGTACAAAATTTCTACGGAACTTTACATTTCAATTTTGTTGCATGGAATACTCACCTCGGTACTCCCTTCATTCCATATTGAATACGGAGTATGTATTAAAACTTTTTTGGTACATTAAAAAATGAATAAATATAAAAATAAATTAAAGTACATCTTTATTTATTCATTTTTTAATATATCAAGTCAAAATAAATAGTTATATGGAATGAAGTGGTATATGTTCATTCCCAATTTTATTTAAAAAAATCTTCCTAAATAGGAGTAAAAACATATGAAAATATTAAAATATTAGTCTTAATTTTTTTAAAACCAAAATATGAATATAATGACAGTGTGTTGTAAGCGTACGCATTGGTAGTGTGCTAGAAAAGTGATGACAATGTAATATATGAGTGTGATTAGTCAACTATCAGTGATCTGCGACGGCACTCTAGTGGCTGGCGACGACAGATGGTAGTGTGACGGTGATATATAGTGTTACAGTAATAATGTAACAATGTGGTGAGTGTGACAGTGTCACAATGGCAGTGTGAATTCCTATATTGATTTTAAAAGACATATTACTTCTATTTTAATATTTTCGTAGTTTTTACTCCTCTCTAGAGAGTTTTCTTTTTTATTTATCCATCACTAGTATTTATATTACATTTCTCTTAAAATTAAAGTCACAAACATTATACATTAGTTAAAATTTATTTCTTTAATAATTTTTCGTTGATTATATACAAAATATTCTCTTCGTTCCAAAAATAATTTCACATTTCACTATTTCAAAATTCCGTGTTCTTTTGTTTATTTGTATGCTTTCAATAATTACTTGTAAAATAAATTATTTTTTTCACCTTTTGCAATAAAACATTTTTATCTCCAAATTATAGATAAATCATTTGAAAATAATCTGGTCAAAATGAAAAAAATAAAAAAAAAAGATAAATAGATACGACGTACTTATAAATCAACTTGTAAGTTTCGAGAATCACGTCATCAACTACTTATAGGTAAGAAATACTCCCTCCGTCCCACTATATTTGTCCACTTTCATTTTTGCACACCATCCAATGCACTTCTTTAATCTATTTTATCTTGTAATTTGTATATTAAAAAATTATAAAAATTATATATTAATAATCTATATGTTAAGACAAATCAAACAAGATCACACATGACTATATTTAGGCTTAGATATTTAGAGAATTTGATGAGTCAAAGTGCTTAGATGAACAGTTCCAAAAATCAAAAGTGGACGAATATAGCGGGACGGAGGTAGTAGTTTCGAAGCAATTTTAATCAATTATATAAGTACGAAAAAAATATCCACTATGTTTTGTGATTCTATCTCGTAGGGAGTATTATTATAGAATTAACTTATTTGTACACTAAAATTTGTAACCTATTTTGTATCTCAAAGATATGCACTGATATTTAGTGCTAGTATGATGATTTACATTGACAACAAATGATAGTACAATTTTTTTTGAAATGAATTAACATTTTATTTCAGTATAAATTATTAAAATATCAGTATATTTCTTTGGAGTACACTTTTGGTGTCCTTCTAGCATGATTTATCATTATACTCTATATTAAGATAGATAAGAGGGAAGAAAAGTGATATGAGTAGGGGATAAGTGGATAAGGCATATGTTGTTGCTGACTAGGATAGATTTAGTATAATCAGCATATGCCCATATATTGATACAGATATACTCTCCGAATATCCCAATTGGATGCCCAATCCCTCTCACAGCATTACTTCGTGTTACCATCGTCACAAATTATTTGTTAGTTATAATTTGATATACTTCTCTTATCCCAAATTAAAATACTCCCTCCGTCCTAAAATTAACTTCTCATTTGACTTTTCACGGTCTCCAATGTAACACTTTGACCATTAATATCTCCATTTTTATATGAATATATATTACAAAAACAACATATTTCAAAACTATGTTTCAAGATGAATCTATTGATAATAAATTTATATGAAAATTCAATATATTTTTTCCGTAATATACGGTCAAAGTTTAAAAAGTTTAACTGTAAAAGTCAAACTGGGAAATTAATGTTAGGACGGAGGGAGTATCTATTCTGGTTTACGATTCTTTACTCATGTTATTTTGAATTCATTTTTTTTTAGAATTGAGTGAGAATTAAAAAATAAAAATTGTATACTTAAAACCAGGGTTGGTCTTGAGATTTTAATGGTCTGAGCCGAGCCAAAAGTATGGCCCAAAGGTCTTATATAACCCTCTGGTTTGAGATTTTTTCATTTCTTCATCTAGATTTGTTTTTTTTACATTTTTTTACTACCGGATAAGTTTTAAGGGTATAACAAATTATTCTTGCATATTAAGTGAAGAACACATTATTGAATCATATTTTCATTCGTAACAAAGATTATTAATTAACAAAATGAAAATTAACAAATAATCCTAGACTTAATAAACTAAATTATTTAAATGAAGAAAGCATATGAGTTAACAATTATTCAATTAACCCTAGAATCAATTTTAATTTGCTCCAAGAATTAAAAATAATGAATATGGATTATGAATACCAATTCTAGATGCGAGAGTGAAAAAAGAAATATAGAAATCTTCTGCTGGTCCGCGCCACTGGACTCTACACTGTTCTTTCGCTGCCAGAGTCGGGAGACTTCCGTGATTTTTGTCGCTAGAGCCTGGAGTGAGTAGTGTTAATCTGGTCGGCGACCTGGCTGGAGTTGGGTGTGGTTTCCCTCACTTTGAAAAAACATAAAGATTAATTCCTCACGTGGAACCTTAAATTTCTCACTTGGAAAATTACATGTACTACATGCACAAGAGTTTTTTTTTTAATTTTTTTTAAAAAATGTCCAATCGCCAGTTCAATTATCACAATAATTACGAAAGGGGACAACATATTCGCACGCCAAACATGCGATTCTTTTACTCATAATTCACACCTCCTACATTCTTTTTTAATATTCACCCCTTCTCATTCCTATTCAATAATACTTACTACCTTCGTTCTCGAAAAGGGATTCTTAGTTTGACCAAGTGTAAAAATAAAGAAGTGTCAAATTGTAATTGACTTTCAATTTTGCATTTGATGTGATGGATAGATTATTAGAGAAAAAGTATGATGTGATAGATAGGATGTGAAAAAATAAGAATAAAAGCGGTTTTTTAATATAAATAGAAGTGTTTTGTTGGAAGTACAAAAAATAAAAGAGGAAGAATTTTTAGAATGGATGGAGTATCATATGTATGTATGTATGTATATCATGGTGTAAATGTAGAAAAATAATAATGGAGAATAATTCTATAATAATGGAGAATAATTCTATGAAATATTTGCATTAAATAACACTAAAACTTAAGTCATTTCCCTAAATAGCACTTAAACTATTTTATTCTTTAAATAGCACTTAATTAAACAAGAATTCCTCTAATTCTATTCATATTAAAACAAGAATGTGATGCTATTTAGGAAAAGTCATTATGTTTGAGTGTTATTTAACTAAATTCCTCCAATTATATTCCTACTAAAACAAGAATTTTATCAAAAAAGAAAAACTATCAACTCCTAGAACATATTCTAACAGTAAATTATCACCCAGGTTAATTACTCTAGGTCGGGTATAAGATGATTTACTAAGGTTAATAACTAAGAAGACGCAGTAAATGAAGATTAACAGAGAGGACTGTATGCCGGAACACTTGTAGTCCAATTATTATTAAACACTGGGGAAAATATAGGGAGGAATTAAATATTAGGGAGAGTATAGGCCAAGAGAGTTTAGTTCACCTAGCGGAGAAGATCTAGGAGTTCGAAAAAAAATGATGTAACGTGTAACACCCTGACCCGTCTAGGTTTGCAGCCCCTTTCCGACTAAAGTATAAACTTGGTAACTGTAAAATTTAAATCTTTCAAACACTTTTATTTATCACAATTGATGGTGTAAATTACCTAACTGGGTAAACAGCGCTAGACACCGGGTCTAGGGGTTGTTTACAGGATTCCAGACAGTATAAGGTAGCAAACATGTTAATTAACCGGGAGGACTGTCGATGGAAACACCTGAAGCCCAATTGTTATTTGAATATAGTGAAGTGCACGGGAGCTTTTACACAAGAGTTTAGTGAGAAGAAATCGGATTCCCTCATTTGAGGGTTACACAAGTATTTATAAGAAGCTAGAGGCAACAAGGTGCCGCACACCCACGTCAGGCCACGTTCCGGGGTGGTGCGAGGTGACTGCTTCTGTCTTTTAGTCGCTTGTTCCATTTTTTTATTCCCGTGTCATTTAGCTAAGAACGTGACTCTTTTGTCGCGTAGCGTGTTGGACTGATTGCGTGAATATCTTTAGTGATCTTTCATTGAATTTGGCCGTTATAGTCCAACCTCCCTTGGATTCTTTCAAGCTGACACTTCCAAACCATTGAAATCATATCGGTTAGGTTTACGCGGGATGAATTTACGGAGATTGGGAATGATCCAAAGAAGTCATGTAGTTTGACCGATAAAGTACTCGAAATGTACCGGTCAAACTTCTGTCATCGACCGATATAAACTTCTATCGTTTAGGCTTCCTAATATAGAAATTCACCGTTTGACTGGTCAACGTTTGTGGTCCCCCCTTGAACCGGTACTAGGTGGAATACACTCAACAACAATAACATTTTTCATAATGGAAACAATACAGAGTTTTCAATATTGCGGAAGGTTAATCAATCACAATCAAAAAAGATAATTAATTTATGTCTTTTGAAATAGTAGTTCAAAACCTTCACATACATCCTGAAAATCTTGCCTTCGTCTAAGGCTATTTTATTTGATTAACCAGACTCTTAAACTATAATTAGTTTAAGGTAAATAATAACCACACTCTTAAATTATAATTAGTTTAAGGCAAATAATAACTAGACTCTTAAACTAGAATAAGTTTAAGACATATAATAACTAGACTCTAAAACTATAATAAGGCAGTCAAACTATATTCAACGATATAATTTTTATATTTTTTGCAATAATTTTTCTGACAACAGATTTTTAGGTATTTGACTTTGACAGAGTCAAAATTGATTTAACTAATCTTTTATTCAAAAGATTCTCATATTCAATTCATATTATTTATTCACATGATTGATTTCAACAAATCATTTCAAAAGTTCACATAATAAATCAAATTCTTTATTTATTCTTGATATGGATCTGTATTCTCGTTCTCAATCAAGATGACACATACAATTGCATTTTGGATTTATATCCATGAGATTTATCCAGTTTATGTTATTGGATTTCAGAACATATTTTATTTCGGCCCAAGGTTCAACAATAATTTATCTTAATCAAAACAATTTGTTTAATTGAATAATAATTCAACAAAACTTTTAGAGTATATTTTGAAGCATTACACAACGAGCTTAGTTCACCTAGCGGGGATGGTAGTATTAGTTATGTATAGTAGTCTTTGTATTTATTTGCTTCCTGTTCCTAATTATGGTAGTTATAGTATTTTAGTAAGTTTTCATTCCCTATTTTTAGTGGTGTTAGGAGGATGGTTGCCAACCAAGTACAAAATAAAATTTAAAAAAAATTGCATGTGTTACATGCGAAATAGGGTGGTGATAAGTCGGGTTTGGTTTGGTTCTTTTTATTTTTTTTTAGACATTTTTAATACTTTTAGACTTTAATTTTTAGTTGTTTTGCTTACTTTTATTTTAATTCTTACTTTTACAATCTTTTAATTTTCTTGAATAAATAGTAGTTTTTTAATCACTTTTTACATTTTATTTTATTTTTCATAACCCAAGTTATCAGATATCTTATTTTATTGGAGAAAAGTGCAGCGAAAAGACCAAATTAGAGTTCAAGTTTAAAAAGAAGAGATCAAAATTGGGTTGAAGCCCAATCCATCATCAACAAAATAACCGGCCCATTCCTCCTTTGTCTTTTTGATTCGCACACGGCAAAAGGAAAAGAAAAAGAAAAGTTTACGACTTCTTCGTCGTCGTTAACAGAGAGCGCAGCACCCAAATCGAAGTAACGCACACCACCTCCAACGTCTCTCCATCAATTTCGTCATTTAATTCTCCAACGGGAAGATATCAACGGAACAATCCTCCGGGTATAAATTGAAGAACAATTGCAGCTAGGGAAGGGTATAATTCAATGAAATGCCAAACCCTAAACCTTATGAGATTAGGGAAGGGTATAATTGGCTACAAGGTAATAGGGGTAAACCTGTTTGGAGACACTGGGTCTGGAATAAATTTACCCCTCCCAAATTCAGATTCATCATTTGGTTATTCTGGAGAAGGAAGCTGCAAACTTAAGAGAGACTTGCTAAATTCTTGAGCATAAACACCAACTGTGAGTTGTGTGGAAGAGCAACTGAATCACAGGACCATATAGTGTGGGGGGGTGTGATAAGGCGAAATCAATTGGGCAGGCTATCATGAAGGAAATCAGATATTCCTGGGACTGCAATTCTGAAGATGAGTTTGGAGTGGAAATGCTGAAAGTGAAGGGAGGAAAACAGAGGAAAATGGTTATAGCAATGTGGGCGACTTCAATTTACTTCATTTGGAAATGGAGAAATGACTTGGTGCATCAGAAGAATAGAAGCCTAGAAGAGATTCAAGATCAAGCTATTCATTACATTAGGAGCTACTTTAATTATATGAGAATTATGTAAATAAGATATGTAGTTGTGGCAGAGACTTGATTGATGGTGTATTTGAATATTTGAAGTAATGAAATCTTGTGATTTTTGTGCAAAAACAAACTATTGTGGCTAATGTATTATGTTTTGTGGCAAAATTTGGTGCCACAAAATGTCAAGTTTTTTGTAGTGAATTTGCCATTGTACATTGGAGATTTCCCATGTCATTGCTAACACCACTAAGTCGCCTTCGTCGCCGCCGACACCACCTAGTCGCCTTCGTCACCGTCGACACCACCAGAACATGTAACCATTGTAGAAATCACCCTAAATAGGACTAAAACATAGAGAAAAATACCAAAATAAGACATTCATGTTTTTTTCATGAAATAGGACTTTGCACTGTGGTAATGTGACTTTGCCCTATGGTAATGTGGCAGTGTACATGTGCAAATTACTACACGTTTTTGGTAATGTATATGACCATGTATGGTAATGTAAGTCATATTTCGGGAATAAAAACATGGAAGTCCTATTTTGGTATATTTTCAATGTTTTAGTACTACTTTGGTCTTTCTCCCTAACCATTGTCAGTGTCATAAGACTGTCAAGGAAAAAACTTGTTATACAATGTCAACTGTAATCTGTAGCTACAAATAATGTCAAGGATGACAATACACCGTAAAACTAGGCACTACATAAGAACAAATATGACATTGTATAATGTCAACACTATATAATGTCAACACAAAGCAAAATGAGAAAAAAACTTTAATTTTCTAAAAACAAGCCATATTGCAAAATTTTGATTATTAAGCCAAACAATCGGAACAATTTTCTTAAATTCAGGCACACCAGAGAAGTGGTCTCGTCGTTGTTGGACAAACTCCATGGATGCATGGCGGTTGTGTTCTTCTTTTATGCGGCGGCGGGGATAGATCAAGGAGGGAGAGACGTTGGGTATTGTCGGTGTAAGGGGATAGTGGCAATGGCAATTGGGGTGATGGCGATAGCAGCTTGGATGTAACTAAGATGCAAGGTGATTGGCGGTGGTTCCAGAAATTGAAGAAGGGGGCAACAATTTGGATCGGTGGTAGTTTTTGAGATTGAAGAAGGTGGTTCTTGAGATTGAAGATGGTGATCAGGAGTAACAAAAATTAATGATTGTTCTCGGTGATCAGCTAGCATGTATCTAACAAAAATTAACCAAGGGTCCGTTTGGTGAGTTTTGGAAATATGATAAGATACGAAATCTAAGAAAAATGATATGAATTTTGAAATCTGAAACGTCTTTGTTTGGAGAAATTGGAATTGAATTAAGTATCACTTTTTACTGTTTGGTGAGAAGCCATTGAACCAAAAAGAATTGAAAAAAATGAATTGCCAATTTTGGACATCATCACCATCATCAATGATCTACCTAAAAGAATTCGTCACCATCGTTCATTCACCATCATCATAATTTGGCGAGAAGAAATAACAAAATTTTGTCGATCTCCAGAATCTGGGATAGAGACGATTGAAGATGTCAATAATTTTTTTATAAAGCTGGAACAGTGATGAAGAAGACTCCGATCACAGATGAAGAAATAAAGCGGATGAGAGATAGAAAGATGTGTCGTGAAAAGAGATGAAGACGAACTAGAGAGAACGGGCAAGACACAGTTACGGGAGGAATAGCAGATATCCCGATTTCAATTATTGATATCGGTAGATTAGGAGAGATATGAGGACACGGTATATTTGGAGATTTTCCATATCTCCGGATTTGGAAATCCAAACCCTTTTTTAACTAAATGTCCATCATTACTGGACATTATTCTTTCCACTAGGTCATTATCAAGTAGTCATTATTCAACTAAATGTCCATTATTACGGGATATTATTCCTTCCACTAGGTCATTATTAAGTCCTATTTAGGGAATAAAAAATTTAGAAATCACTCTAAATAGGACTAAAACATAGGGAAAGTACCAAAATAGGACTTTCATGTTTTTTTCCCCGAAATAGAACTTTGCACTGTGGTAATGTGACTTTGCCCTGTTGTAATGTGGCAGTGTACATGTGCAAATTACTATACTTTTTTGGTAATATATATGACCATGTTTGGTAATGTAAGTCCTATTTCGGGAATAAAAACATGGAAGTCCTATTTTGGCATATTTTCAATGTTTTAGTCCTAATTTGGTCTTTCTCCCAAAAAAGTTTAAGTCCTACATTAGGAAAGTCATTATGTTTTAGTCCTATTTAGTGCAAATTTTACTTTTTAATTCACCAAACAATAATTTTGGAAATTTGATATCTCCAATATTCAAACCCTTACCTTTTTGGCTCACCAAACACCCCCTTAGTCTTTTTTATTGGAGTTTACGTTACATGCTAGCACGAGGAGAATATATAAAGACTACCTAAAACATTTTAGAGGGGATAATATATCTATTTTATTTAATGAAATTATCATTCAAAATAATGATGGAGACGTAAGTGTAAATGCGTCGTTGAGAGATGCTAGTTTTGACGAACCAGAAAGTCGCCCTTTTCCAGTTGTGACAAGTGTTACCTCTCACCGAAATTATAGGTGCCGCACCACTTGGGCCGTGTCTCGCTCCGCTTTCTCTCCCGCAAATTAAACTTTAGGTTTTTCTTCTTCTTCTTCTTCCTCTTCCATTGGCTGCCTCTTTTTTTCCCTTTGTATTTTCTTTTGTGAACAGGCCTAAGCCCCTCGATGTCAGAGGCGGCTATGGTGGATTATTTTTTTGATTGGTTGAATAAGCTTCGATTGGCCATCTGATTTTTCGATTTGTTTCGTTTGTGATTATTGACCACAGGGTCTTTTTTCCTCCGCTCGCCGGAAGGAATCGAGAATCTGCCGGCGATTGCGTCTCCTCAGGTACCGGTTTCTCTCTGAGACATGTAGTTGCTGTTTTTAAGCTTTGCTGAAGAAATTTAATGAACATGCATGTAGGGGTTTGTGTAATTGTGTTGCAGATCGGTTGACTTGTGTCAAGTCTGACTTAATATTTGGCTATTGATGGTCCCTGCTCAGATTTGAGTCGATGTGATATAGATCGTTAAGTTATCTCTTTGTCTTTAGATCTATATACGGAGTATTTAGCTTGGGGTTCAGATTTCAAGCTTTTATGCTTTGTGATAAACACTATTGAATTATTGGAGCTGTGTATTTCCTTTCTACTTGTTTGCAAGTGTTATTGGAGCTTGTGATTAGGTGTGGTAAGGTAATTGTTTAAACCTGATTTTGGGGTATGTTTAGGGACAGTGTTTTCAATTACCTTTAACGATTGAGATCATTTTTATGCGGTGCACATTAAGTTTAAAAAAAACTATATTTTTGTCTATAAGATAAAGCTAAACGTTGATGCTTTTTGCAAAAACGTTTGTGCTCTTGTTTAACTTTACCATCTATACCAACTCTGCACTGTTGGCTTTAAGAATTTGAGCATGAAGCTTATGTTCGACATGAGTACATGTTTTCGAACTTCTTGAATAAAAGGCATGAGAATTGATAATGGATTCAGAAATATCTCATGCGAAATGCTTTGGAGTACCCTGTCTTGGATATTCTCAACTTGCACACAGCTCGCAATTAAGAGTATAGAATGCTAGAGATAACCAAAGTATAATCTAAAGTTCATTTATGTTGTGAGTTTTGTAAACAAAACGGCATGAACCATTATCCCTCTTATATCGTGCAAGGGACTTACCCTTTCTCTATTGTTTCTTACAGTTGCTTACTAGTTGTGTAGAATCATTCATCCTCCTCTTTTACCATCACTCTCAGGTGTCCCCAACCTCACCCCACGCACACACCACCACACAAATTGGGAGCTTTGACACTGGCTGTAGATGCTCTATGTACTGTGTGACTGCTGTGTTGGAATTAATTTCATTTCTTAAGTGGGGAATTTACGTACTAAAACATATAGTACTAAAACATAGTGAGTTTCTCAGTGTAGTATCATATGTTTTAATTTCTCAATGTAGTACCACTGTTTAATGTCCACTAGACATTGTTCAAGTAAATGTTCACCGCCACTGGACATTGTTCAAGTACTATTTAGGGAATAAAAAGTTTTAGGTACTACATTGGGAAAAGACATGTTTTAGTACTATTTAGTGCAAATTTCACTTCTTAAATAAGATTTGATGGCTCAATGTTATGCCATGAAAGTTTCATTAGTCAGTGTATATCTTTAGTATATTGCTTGGAAGAGATGATAGTTTACTTATTTATTTCCCTTTTAACTACTAGTGTTACTTGAATGCCACTGGGCAGGTATTAAAATATCCCTCAGCTTCCCCTGCAACTGCACTCTTACAAATGGATCAGCATGGAAATGGACAACCACCAGGTATGGGGGTAACTACCTCTGCTTCAGTGGCATATGGTGTTCCCTCATACCAAGCTAACCAAATGACAGGGTCTATGCCGGTGGGTCCCATTCAATCTCCACAAAATCTAGGTCTTCCAGCCTCTTCATCTCAGATGGCGCCACATCAGCTTGCATATCAGCACATGCATCAACAGCAGCAACAGCAGTTGCAGCAACAACTTCAGTCTTTCTGGGCTAATCAATATCAAGAAATTGAGCAGGTTACTGATTTCAAAAACCACAGTTTGCCGTTGGCAAGGATCAAGAAAATCATGAAGGCAGATGAAGATGTTAGGATGATCTCAGCAGAGGCGCCTGTTGTGTTTGCCCGTGCTTGTGAGATGTTCATCCTTGAATTGACTCTGCGTGCTTGGAGTCACACTGAGGAGAACAAAAGGAGGACACTTCAGAAAAACGACATTGCTGCAGCCATTACAAGGACTGATATCTTTGATTTCTTGGTTGACATTGTTCCACGAGAGGATTTGAAAGATGAGGTGCTAGCTTCAATCCCTAGAGGAACCCTTCCTGTCGGGGGTCCTGCAGACCTTCCATATTATTACATGCAAGCACAATCTGCTCCCCAGGTTGGACCCTCAGGAATGTATATGGGTAAGCCAGTGGATCAAGCCCCCCCATATGTGCAGCAGCCTCATCCATATATGGCTCAGTCAATATGGCCTCAGCAGCAGCAGCAGCAACAACCACCATCAGATTCATGAGCAGGAGCCAGGAACAGGAATGAAATGTGAGTTATTAATCTATTTTCCTGTAATCAATCTTTTTTGAGAAAATATACCATACCAGTTTGCTCTGATCCCGTGCTGAATAGTACTATTATTTTCTTAATTCATTCATAAAAAATACATGATTTACAGAAATCAAGAAATTATGAATTAACTTGTATATAGCAGATAAACTTCTATGATTTGTTGTGCTTGCATACTGCCCCATCATCAACTAATCCAATAACACAACTGCAGAAAATTACAACCTGAACACCAAGTAGGAAAGAACACATCACCAAACGAGCAGGTTCCGTAGTAGAACACATATTACTGGATGGTACGTGAAGCACGCCCAGCTTTAAGCTCTTGTTTCTAGTGTAGCTCCATCTGCATGCAATGAACTCTATGTTTTATATGTTGTATACTTTTGAATTACAAGTCAGAAGAATGTTAAGGTTGTGATATTGTGGGATTGAACTCACTTTTCTGCCATTGATTGAGTGCTGATCTAATTCTTCAAGTTGTGCAACGGTGAGAAATTCACATGACAACCCCCACCCCCCCACCCTCCCCTCTTGTTTAGTTGAAATTTAGTGAGGGGGTCGGAATTTTCCTTCTGTCTTTATTATTCACACCCCCTCCCTATGTAACCAAACACACCCTGAAAGCATTGTGGAAAATGTTGGCGATGCTTGTGGTACACCCAAGGTTTATACCGAAGTGTACACCAAGCTTTATTTTTACCCTTCAAAGACGAGAAATACGAGAGAAGATAAATCATATTGTAATCTCAGTTTATTGCTCAACTATCGTCATCTTAACTTTAACCCTATGTTTAGATGGACAAATTTTGGAGAGAGAAAATGAGAGAGTGGGGAACACAAATTTCAATGCCTTTTCTCTTGTTTGAGTGCAATAAAAAAAGAGGAAGGTAGAAAAAAATGAGAGAATGAAATTAAAACTTTTCTCTCCTCAGGCGAGAAAATTGAATAGATGGAGAGAATACGAGTGAAATTACTCTTTCACCTTCCTTTTTTCTTAAAAAAAGGACACAGATGTCTTTCCATTTTATCACATTTTTTTTAGTGCATCACACTTTCTTTCTTCTCACGTTTTCTCTTCATTTTATACTCATTCAAACAACAATTTATTTTCTTTCCATTTTCTCTTCATTTTCTTTCCTCTCCATTTTCTTTCTTTTCATTTTTTCCCTTCCATTTTCTTTTCTCATCCAAGACATAGGCTAAGAAAAAAGTTTGGGGAATTTCACCTGTGACACCATTTTTTGACACGAAGGCAAACACAGAATAAACTGACTGTGCAATGATGTTTCATGCCGGGAGCCTTTTTTTTGTCACGTCCACCTCTACCATGCAAGGACATCTACCCACCCATGATATACTAGTGTCCAACATGTGTCGGAGAACGACACTGCATTGAGACGCGTACTTGACACAGTACAATACGTGCCCAATAATTAATGAGTTGTTCAATGTACGATTAACGTGGTTGTTCATGTGTTAGCTAGACAGGCTGAAGCGGAATCATGCTAGCTTGTGAATTGATTCCCCTGCAAACTTTGTTTCGGATGCTTCGTTGAGTTAATTGATTCCGTCTTTCCTTCAAAAAAATCTAAAAATCTTTTTGAGCCTAACGGGGAGTATATTGGTATCATTTGTTAAAAATGAGATCATCACAATTCACAAGGCAAGGAAAAAATGGGAAAGCAAAGCACTTTAGAATAGGATGGGGCATTTCAATAAAGCTAGGATAACCCAAAAATGTGACCTCAAGGAAGACTACATGCTTCGCACTGATCACATAGACCTACCTTTATTTTCTGTGAGGAGCAAACAATAAAAGTCTTTGTGGTCTGTACGAAGTGGTGTAGGGTCACCCTTTTGGGGTTACCCTAGCACGGTTTCGGGGCATTTGGTGGTTGCAATGATTAAAAAACAAAGAAAGAGGGTCCTTTTATTTACTGTAAAACAAAAGAAAGGGGGTCCTTTTATTCATTGTACAACAGACAGTCAGTCACAGTTATCCATGCTCCGTATTTAGCTAACCGGTTTTGAAGGCAGCAGGGTACATAAGGTGGGTCTCTCAGCAGTGTGGGCACAACTCTTCCAGGCTGAAGAAATTTAAAGGAAAAAAAAGGTTAGAATAACGCCTTCCATTTCATGGGTACAAGGTGTCGAAAATAATTTAGGCTATGTTTAGCTTTAGCATTTTGAAAATACTATCCAACAGTAGCTTTTAGCTTCAGCTTTTTCATGATCAATCTGTACCATCAAAAGCTTATCCAAAACGCCGACGTTAATTTATTCAAAAAAAAAAGATTATTCCCAAACGAAGCCTTAATTATGAAAATCTCTCGCACCTTCTCCCAAGGTACTCGATGATATCCCCGGTAAGCGTGGATCTCCCCTTGTTCTCGAATGCAAGAGCTGCAGCCTTCCTCAGCAGAGTCGACCCGGCAATACATCCCAGTACTGTGGGATTTGTTGGGTACAATTCTCCTAGATCAGCGCACTGTCGCGCCCAACAAAGAAATACCGCAACACTGAAAGCAATAAACAGTCAAGTGTCAATTTATGCCACTACGGGACGCATTATATAGCAGCATAGTCTCAACCTAATGAGGGATACAGTGGTGGAAAGAAGATGAGAAAGATGGCGGTTAACAACCTTCCTGACAGTATATCACCCTGGCCACCACAGCGGCGAGGAGAACCGTAAGTGCTCACTGAATTAACTGCAACAATTGCAGAGATGAATATGATCACAGATGGATGAGTAATTGGATTTCACATCTAAATGCATAAAGTATGGAAGAACAGACAATACCGACTCATCAAAAGAAGTCTAGCAAAATCACAATTTCACTTATACTGGATTGAGCAAGAAGATACTCATCAAAAGAAGTCTAGCAAAATCACAATTTCACTTATACTGGATTGAGCAAGAAGATACCTGTTTTGCCATCACAAATTAAATCAGTTTCCCCTTTCCGCAATACTGTCACTCCACCAATCCTGAAGATATGCAGCACAACACTCATACTCCTTTCGTCCTAATGAGTTAGTCCATTTGACTTTTTGAAGTCAAACTGGACAAACTTTGATCATCAATAAAATAGAATAAAATGATCTTTTAAAAATATATTAAAAGTTAAATCTAATTAAGTCATTTTCATTTCAATATGGAAAGTAATTTTAATTTAATAAATGATCTAAATCTGTTCGGTTTGACTCCAAAAACTCAAACAGAACAAACTCATTATCCTAAGTCCAAAGTTAATCTACTTTTTAAAATCTAAGTATTTATTTTAATTTCCATTATAATTGATAGGTGGGATGTTTTGGTGGACTCACTCTCAAGTTCCAATGACATGCAAGGCAGTCTTTATTGTTCCAAAGTGTTCCAAACATGGTTTAAGAAGGAATGAGTTTTTATCATTTGGTCATACTCCCTCACTTCCATAAAAGACTTTACACTTTCCTTTTTTGGATGTCATAAAAAGAAATTACATTTACTTCTTATCTTGGTAATGAATAGGTGGCTCATAATGTTTCTCTCTTATCTTAACAAATTCTAACCACATTCTTTTTATTTTCCAACTTTCTTAAAACTCCGTGAATGTCAAACCGTCACATTTTTATGGAACGGAGAGAGTAGAAGACTTCCAAAATGATACTCCAAAATAAATAGGTTAACAATGATGATGTTCATTCCTTTGACGATCTTTTATAGATCCAAGTCGATGAAGCTGTGAATGCATCAAATTATGAAGAAAAGTTCATTTCAGCACTTCAGTAAAAGAAACAGAGAATTTACCCCTTAACCAGGGCCTTTAACTGTTCAGCTTCATCTTCTTCATCAACTTCAGAAGTTAGTACAGCTTGCACAAGTCGTTTATACTCATTTAGATTTGGTGTCAGGACAGCCAGAGGATAACCTCTAACCAGATCAAGACAATGCGTAACAAGAAAGAGCCCATCCTATGAAAAGAACACACTTTGCAAGTAACTATTATCTGACGCAATACTTTGCAACACGTTTAGGCTTTTGCCAAAAGAAAACAAAAATGTACTCCCTCTGTCCCATAAGATTTTTGGGTTTAACAAAAGTAAAAATGTGGGTTGAAATTTATTTAGAGAACAAAGAAATAATATCAACCACGTAATTCTTTCCTTTAAAATGTGAACCTTATTTTTGGACAAAAATATGGAAACCATAACTCCTTTTGGGGCAGAGGGAGTATAAGAAATACTTTCACTCTATTCTAGCATACCCCATCTATAACCATCGGCAAATTGCACTTCCGCGCATGACGTATGATGTTACTCACACACTCCTGAGTTAAAATAAGGAAGTCAACATAATCACCCAACAGATAAAAATATAACACCCGAGCATGAAAAAGAGAGGAACATCTTTTGTAAGTATCACCCAAAAATACCATAACATTCAAAAATAAAACTCGTAGTTTAGGTTTCTCGTAATCACAAACAAAACATTAAGAAAAAGAAAATCTTTAATTTTGAACCAGCTCAATCTAATTATCCTGCTAAGTCAGGGATCAGTATAAGGTTAAATACCCTACTCTTTTCTTTCTTGTGTATTATACATGAAATCAGAGTAAAGTATTTAAAACAAGAAGTGCGCTCGACACAAGACATTGTCAATGAACATAAAAGCGAATGGAAGAAGACAGGGTGCACCATAATGAGCGATGGTTGGTCTGACACAAAAAGAGAGAGCATTGATCAATTTTCTGGTTAATAGTCCAAAGGGGACCGTTTTCTTGAAATCACTAGATGCTTCTGAAATAGTGAAGTCATCTGACAAGATTTTTGAGATGCTAGATGAGGTCATTGAAGACGTTGGCGAAGAAAATGTCGTTCAAATTGTGACAGATAATGCCCCAAATCATAAAGCTGCAGGTGATATATTGATGGAGAAGCGAAAAAGGCTATATTGGACACCATGTGCGGATCATTGCATTGACCTCATGCTGGAGGACTTCGAAAAGAAAATTCGAATTCATGGACAGACAATTCCTAATGGTCGCAGAATCATTACTGACAATTATTCTAGACCTTCTTTAATGCCTCTGTTACACCACTTCACGCATGGAAATGAATTGGTGAGACGAGGAATGACCCGATTTGCTACTGCTTATCTAACTTCGGGGTGTCTTCATGAAAACAAAACTGGTTTGATTAGAATGTTTACATCGGAAGACTAGAGGTCAAACAAATGTTCAAAAAGAAATGATGGAAAGGTTATGGAAGAGATTGTGTTGGATAAGGAGTTTTTGAAAAGCTTAGTGATATATTTAAAGGGTGCATTACCTCTCATTGAGGTGCTTGGTTTGGTTGATTCTGATGACAAAATTGCCATGGGATTTATTTACGAGGCAATGGACCAAGCAAAAGAAAAGATACAAGCAGCTTTCCAAGGTGTCAAGAAAAGGTACATAAGTCCTTTTCTTTTTATTAACGTCTGTCTTCTTAAATTAATTATTCAAGACTTATGTAATATACTTTTGTGTTCAGTTTTAGGCCTTTTTGAAATATCATTGATGAGAGATGGAACAAACAACTTCATAGGCCCTTGCATGCGGCAGGCTATTGTCTTAACCCTCGCATGCACTATAGCCCCAATTTTAAAGCTGATTTTGAAGTTAAACAAGACCTGTATAGTTGTATAGGACGCATGGTGGCTGATATTGAAGAACAAGCAAAGATTGATGTTCAATTAGAAGACTTTAAGAAGCGTGAAAAGTTATTTGGTACTGCATTGGCAAGAAAGACATTTGATACGAAAAGTCTAGCGGACCGGTGGGAGTCATATGGAGATGAACATCCAGAGCTTCAAAAATTTGTCATTCGAGTATTAAGCTTGACATGCAGTTCTTTAGGATGTGAGCGTGATTGGAGTGCATTTGACATGGTAAGATTTCTATTATATTGGAAAGTGTGCAAATAAATATTACTCCCTCCGTCCCAATTTAATTGTCCAGTTTGACTTTTTCGAGTCAATTTGGACAAACTTTGAGCTTCAATTAAATAAAAACCGTAATGTATTCTAACAAAAGAAAAGAAAGGAACTTGATCTCTAACTGTCTCAAAGCCAAAACTTGATGTGTATGCCTAAGACAAAGTATATTTCTCGCTATAAATGTCCCTCTAGAGTCCTAACTGTTTTTCAATTATTCCTGCACTGCTTTTGCTAAACTTCCCCATGCTGCATCTGATGGCCATAAAATAAGATGGAGAACCCCTAACCCCCCAATGGTTCATAGCTATCCTAAGATTCTAAAAGACATCATTAACTCATTAAGATGCATAAAGCATTTACATTTGGTGTTATGGATACGAAAGATGTGTGGATTAACATCGGGAATGGATGTGGTTAATGTATAAGCAGGACTTTTTGATAAGTGGATTACACAACTAGGTGCAAAGTCAGAGTATTGTGCTACGGCCTAAACAATGTGTGAAATGGAGAGGATGCGTAATTTGTTGAAGGAGGTTGGTGTAAAGACCATAGTTGTCATGAAGGCAAGGCGAGGACGCCTAGGCGGTCGACTAGGAGACAATTAGGCGACATATAATAAATGAGATTTACTACGTACTATACATTTGTAACACTAATATAAATATATCACACTATATATTGTTGTTCATAAACTCTAAATTTCTAATCAAACAAATTTTACTTTAAGCGCTAAAATACAAATCTAAAGAATAATCATTACTGCACTAAAATAAAAAATGTAAAGAACAATCACATCATTACTGGGTATGAAAAAAATATACAGAGTAAAAAGTAAAGGAAAATCATTATTGAGACTATCATTTGTGAGTATGAAAAAAAAGAAATAGACAAATAGTAGGAAAGGGAGTACCCAAAAAAAGAAGACAAATAGTAGGGGAGGGAGTACCAAAAAAAAGACAAATACAAATAGTATAAAATTCATTTTGAAGCAGCTCACTGCTTACTCTGTGTGAATCAAAGGTGGGAGAGACAGAGAGGTCAGCATCCGGTGAGACCCCTATCCAGCGATGGCGAGAGAATCTGTCTGGAGTCAAAGTCAAAGATTCTGGGTTCCGACTTCCTACAGATTCTAATCTACAACTTTGGGTCGCAACTCGCGATCTATTCAACTACGGAGCAAAAAAATTGACTTTTTAAAAAACATGGCACCCTTGGTGAGCGCCTGGATACCTAGTCATCCCAAAGGTGACACCTTTCCAGCTTAGGCAAAATCAGGCGAGTCAAAAGTCATGGTGAGAAGAACTCAGTGCTTGGATGCCAAGTCAACACCGTGAAAACTATGGTAAAGACACATGTATCATTAAAATTGTTGTGTAACAATCGATAGCCATCCATATTGCAAAGAATCTGGTGTTTCATGAGTGGATGAAACACATTGAAGCGATTTGTCATCTAATTTGAGGGAAGATCCAGCTAGGGTTGTTTTCTACAGCACATGTATGAACTAAAGAACTAGCATATTTGCTTATAAAATGACTTAATGTAGTAGAGTGGGCTATCTATGTAACGAGTTGAGCATGGTGATGATCCAACTTGAAGAGAAATACTAAGATATGCCTTGGAGTTTCTACATGAGCATTGTGTTTAGCCCACTCTGGTGTACAAATAGAGGATATAAACAGACTTAACAGAGGTTGTACCGACTAGTGGCTGAACATAAACTTGGCTTAAAAAGATATATCATTGCACACAAACATAAACTCTGTAAATAAATACTGTAAATACCAATAAAGTAATTCTTGCACACAAACATGTATTCTAGAAAACTAAACCATTAGGATTAAAAAACAGATGAGCAGCATACCAGGAGAAATGGATCCCTGCCAAGACCTGGACCAACGACTAGACAATCAAATCGATCCATCCATTTATCAACCTCTGCCATCACTTTGGCTGATACTGAGCTTCTATCCTCATCCCTGAGATACTTATATCAAAAACATCAGTATACTAAGGATATAGTTCAATAATTCAAAGGTAACTGTGGTGTTAAATCCTGACAAACAAAACATAAAATGTGCATTCATCTACTAAACATTTAAGACTCGCCTAATGCAGTAAGACTCTTCCAGAACTGGATGTACAATTAACTCTGGACTATAGCTTTTTATGACTGAACCAGCATCTTTTGTGCAAAATACATGAGACAGATCTGCCCCCTGGTGAAACAAGTAAACAGACTAAATAAGATGTGTTACAACTTGGCAGTCCAATTGTAACAAGTTGAGGAAGGGATAAGGTGACTCACAATCTTCAATGCAGAAATAGCAGCAAAGTATGGTGCCCCAGTGTATTCGCGACATCCACCTACAACAGCTATCTTGCCTGATTTAACAAAGACAGATAAGGCAATAATATTGGAGGCAATGATGCACAATAAATCTTTAATCAAGTGCCAAGGAAAGAAAAATTAGAGGCCTCCATGAACATGTGAAAGCCTATAATATTCCATTCTAATTAAAAATATTGCATATTATAGCAAAGATACCAATTTGCGGAAATGTGTTTCATTATATTCTCCACCATAGTGACTCCATTACTCGTCGGACCTTAAATTATGTTTCTTGATTTTGTTATTCCTCATAAAACAACATTTTTTATTTAACAAAAAAAGATGCAAAATAGAAAAAATGTGAAATATTCTTCCAAGTTAAGTTTAGGTGAGGGGTTTTGGAAGATAAGACAAGGAGTTAATGTTAAATTCAGTTATTTATACATGGTTTATGGCAATACATCAATCCTTGGCCATTGAGCTTAGATTAGTTTATCATGTTTTAATTTTGACAAACAATCAAGCTAAAGCAATATTTTCTTAAGATCACCCTGCTAAGGGATCCAAATAGAAGCTGAGATATAAATGCTCTCCACGAGTCAAAAACTCAGGAACCCCTAAATGTGTCAGCAGTTAAAAGCTCATCCATTTGCTCCGGGCATGGAGTCCAATTAAAGTTAAAAGCATTCCAAATCATACATATTCAGTTAAACGGTAAAATGTCTCAGCAGAACCCTAAAAAATTGATTAAGAGAACTAATTTTACCAGCTTGGCCTTTGTGCTTCGTGTAGACGAGATTTGGGGTTATTGATCTTAAAACGCTCACAGAATCGGCCTTCAAGCTAGAGCCACTACTCACTGCAGACTGCATTCTAATATTAGCCTGATATAAAGGTTCTTCGGCTTTTCCAGAATAACCTCCCAAACACCTTAGCAACAACTGCTGCCTTCTGATTACTCCTGCCGAATAAGCCAGTGTTGCTCCAGAATCAAAAGCTTCTGAATTCTCGAGAAAAAATGATTTTTTAGGGAGAATAGGATCTTACCATACAACAATACTTTTGAACACATAGTTTGCTTTTTTACAAAATTGATTATTCTTATCATTCTCATAAATAAATCAACTTGGTCTGTTCTTAATGTACTTTCACACCCTCTCCAATTGCACGAATTTAACTTCATGGTCAAATTTTTTACAAAATAAAAAGTGGAATGAGAAAAATGTACTCACTGGTTTCCCGCTCAATTTACTTAGGTTACAAGCAGTAGATTTTTAGTAATATTTTAAGATCTACGGTTCATATGCTATAAGATGTATCTATACCTAACGGATGAAATACTATATAAAAAAGGGAAAGAATTAAAGAATGAAAATGGCTTGTTTTAATGAGTCTAAATTAAAAAAAAATTAAAACAATGGTTTCTGTTAAATTTTAATTTTTAATTTATCCATACACAAATTACTATTTTAAAAGATTTCCATTTTTATTTTATTCATACGCAAATTGCCATTTTAAAAGACATATATCATTAATGAGTAGGGAAAAAAATGGTTTCTATAATCTTTCCATTTTATTTTATTCCTACGAATTACCATTTTAAAAGATAGATATCATTAACGAGTAGGTATAAAATAGTTTCTTTAAGTTTGCCACATTAGACGCATTCCTACGTGAATTAGCATTTTAAAATTCATTCAATCTACGCTTCACATAAAATTACATTAAATAACCAATGAGTCTAAACTTAAAAGACGAAAATAAAATAAGGGTTTTTTTCCATGCCTTCACATTTGAAGGGGCATGGAAAAATAACACCGCCTAATCTAAATACTCCACATAAAAAGACAGATTGTTAAAGAATGCAAAATGAGGTAACACCACAATTTTTTAATTTTATTATTTTTTGATTTAGTATTTATTTATTTATTAATAGTCTGATTATTAAAATAATATCTACAATTATGGAATCTGGAATGTCAAATTCACGAAAACATATTAAAGCAGATAAAGGCGACCAACAGATAATTTAGTTAGCAATAGCTAAAAAATTGGATGCATATTTTATCCACTCTAGTAATCAAAAGATAGCAATTTTTTTTAAAGAAATCAGTGATTAACTTCTTTAACTTTCCAAAATATCCTATTACGCTTTCAAGAATTACAATGTTCCCTTGATGGGTGCTATGAATCAAATCAAGGAGATTTGTTATAGCTCATAGGCTAAACTAACAAAATTGAAAATTAAGGCTCCGTTCGGTACATGGAATTCAACCTATGGAATTGGAATTGAGGACAACAATTCCAATCTTGTTATTTGGTAGCAAAAAAACATGTAAATTTGGAATTGGTAGTGCCAAATATGATTTGGAATTGGAAAATTCAATTTCATCCAAATGAATTCCATAGAATTTCAATTTCTAATACAATTCTAATGCGGTCAATTATGTGCACCAAACGGATCCTAACGGAAATTGAGGTTTTAACCTCAAACAACCAAATTGAAACTTAACGGAAATTAATTTTTCATCAAAATCATGAATTTTTTTAAGAGCCTTCATACACCACTCATGGTATATGGATATCAAAACTAACTTATTCTAGATCCGGTTGTTTATTATGTTGTGTTGGTGTATTATTGACTGTAAGTATAAGTCTATTATGAAATGGAATTAATATGACAAAGTTATGCACAAACACACATGGTTGTCGTGAAAGTATGAAATGGATATGTAAAAGTAAAAAAAATGAAATTAATATGACAAGCACACCTGGTGGTTGTGAATGACAACCTCCATTGATTATCTAGATCTTCCAAAAGTAGCTACTTCATAAACACGAACAGCTCAGACGTGGATTGCAACCGCGTTTTGGTTCCTATCAAGATCAGCAAGCATTGTCCATAAATTGTGGGAAACACGGTTGGAAGCCATCTTTTCGTTATGAAGAAAGCGTTGATTTTACGTTACCCAAGCCGTCATCACATGTTCCCCTATGCAAACTTATCATGCTTTTACTTTTTTCCATAAAGTAGCAATTTAGGTGTGTTTTTTTGAAGGGGATTAGTGAGAGGTTCATTTATAAAGGAAGTGTTATTTTTCCCATAAAGTAGCCATTTAATTCACCCATACCCGATCGTGCCTTATCATACCAGAAACTCTATCCAATTGGGTTGGGCGGGAAACTCTACTTCTCATGTTCCTCCTACCATTGTATATTAAAAGATGTCTCTTGGTATCTATTATGCTATTAGAGCATCGTAGATAAAAAATAACTTTAGACACTAATCTTATAATTGTGTTAAAAATTACCTGTGACTATATGTTTTATTTGATTTTTTCAATCCAAATTCGATAAAAAAATTGTGTTGTACATTAATAGCTTCTCGATAATTTTTACTTCTTCCGTCCCAAATATATTGCAACCTTTTTTTGTCTTCTATCGATAACTTTCGTTTATTTGTGTATTTTTATTGAATATTTGATAAAATTTAATTTTCTTGTCACGTCTCGTTTTGTAGAACTTTTGACATATATTTTTAATATGAAATTTTTATTTCTCATTAATGTACAAATTTATAAATAAAATAATTTCAAAAGACGAAAAATTTTGTCTCATAACTCCTAATTTGCAATCAAATTAGGGATGAAGGAAATATTTTTGTGTATATTTACATTTATTATTTGATAGAATAAAATATTATTATCATATCTTACTTTTTAATTTTTTTTTATATATTTTCGAATGATATAATTTATACGTTTTACTTTTATATGAATTTAAAATTAAAATAATTTTAATTTCACATGTTTGGGAGGGTAGCATTTATTGTGGGCGTAGGGTATATAGCCATATAGGGTCCCTTTCTTTTTTTTTTTTGAGTCTCATACAAATAGAGTAGCAAGTTGATCGGAGATTCGGAGACAAGGAACAGAAGCATTGGCCATGGCGTCAGCTATGCTAAAGCGGACGACGATGTTGAATTCCATGGCAAACCGATTGAGGTCATACGCTTCGGTGGCAGTGGGTACGGACCTGGTCTCCGCCGCACCCAATATCTCTCTCCAGAAAGCTCGCACCTGGGACGAAGGCGTCTCCTCCAAGTTCTCCACTACCCCCCTCAAAGACATCTTCAGGGTATCTATTTTCTTCAATGGAACTCTGTTCACTGCCTAAATTGTAAATGTCGCCTTCTTTGTTCTATTTAGGGTTTTATAATTTGGTTTTGTTTTTTGTTTTCAGGGCAAAAACGTTGTTATCTTCGGACTCCCGGTACCTATTTTCTCTAGTTATTGTGATATTTTTTTGTTACTTATACTGTGGAGTTTTCATTTCTAGATAACTTAACCTGGTTATGTATGTCTCCTTTCACTTTTGTATCGGCAATTTGGTAGTTCATTGCAATGATCTCTCTGATTAAGGATGCTTATCTACGTAAGGGGACATGACAGTAGGCCCGAACAAATTTTTAGTTCAATTACCTTTATGTTTGGGAACATGGATTTGGATTTCAAATCCGGATTTG